AATGTGGCGTCACAGTAGTCATGTGACTCGATGACGCAACAGTACCTTCTTCAATAATACATGTTAAAAATATGAAGAATAAGCCTTCCAAAACATACTTACCATTCGCTAACATCTATAACTACTCCTCAACCTCCAGGGTTTCAACTTAGCCCATCTAGGTTGGAATGATTTTTTCTCACTTGCTCCAGTCTTTTATACCCCACTTAGTTGCCCTTGTTTATATACTCTCCACCAATGTCAATGTGGCCTTTATCCTGGTACTGTATATAAGCACCTAATTCAGATAATTTTATCACTTTTTCTCAACAAAGCATTTAAACACAGGTTTCTCTACACAAGTGCTGCGATAATTAACATACCTGGTTGTGATTATCTGTATAGATTATATTTAAAAATTATTATTTAACAAAACAAAACAATTGTGACATGCTGTTTTAAAGCATGAATTCACGGGTTACTGTTTTCAGCACAGAGGTTACTCAGTCCTCTATTCCACCTCTGTTATCTAACATCTTTCAAGGGTGGGGATGGGGGGGGGGGTCGGACTCTCAGTTGAGGCTGTCCATGATCTTATTCGTTGTGAAATGGAGACATATATTCAGTCAAGCAGCATCTCTCCAGGGGTTCTGAGGCTGCTTTTTTCAATGATCCAGGACAGTCTGGAGAGAATTTGGACTATCTTTTTCTGGCACCTTTGTTTACTAGGTCAGCTTCTCATAAGGCCAGTTTGGATCAGCCACCTCCTGCTCCATTTTTTCAGTTAGTCAGTTGAGTTTGTGAGGTTTGGGGCTTTCTCTGGTTACCTTTGAATCTACTCCTTCCTTGATGGCTGATAGGTCTGAGGGTGACAACTTATTTTTTCCTCCTTCACCCGATATTGCTATTCATGCTGGGAGATCTACTGCTCCATTGCATGATGGGATAGGTATACCTTATCCCCCTTATTTGTCTGAATAGCATGCTTTGGCTTACCACTGCCAGGTGTACATATATTTTGATTCCACAGACTAGATCCTCTTTTAGATACGTGGAGTTCCAGACTGGACCCTGTGATCACTTTGAACAAATCACAATTCCTCGGATTTGTTTGACCCTCATTCCTTTTCTGAGATTTTTCTCCCCCTTCCCCAACAAACTTTGTTGAAAGCCTATCAGCGGTCTCCACATCAATTTGAGGATGACTTGGGCCTTTTGCTGACTTCTACCTTAGTAAGATTGTCAACTTTTGCTCTTTCTTTGGTTTCCTGGCTTGTATGTTGTTGAGATTTATTGGGTAGAGATGCCTTGTTGGAGGGAGTTTGTCTACCTGCTGTAGCTCTCCATGAGTTATGTGAGGCTCCTTTTCTTCCTCCCTTGATGTTTGCAGGCATCCCAGAAGCATTGAAATCATGAATTGATGTCACCTGTTTGCTTTTTTACTTGTTGCTGTTCTCTAGATTTTCATTGGCTCTTGCTGGAAGACATGGCACAACTGCTCATTGAGTGTTATGACCCCTGGCTTTTGTTCCTCACTATATGGATAGTCCGAATAGATTCTGTCCTTAATGTCAAGGCTCCTTCACTCTGGCAGACCATTGCCTTTGGTGTCAGTGACTATTCTATGTAGGTGGGGTCTGTGGGAATGAGGTTACAACAAGTGAAGGACACCTGGAATTCCTTCTCCACAGATTCAGGTTCTGGCATCAGGGTTGGTCATTCTGTTAACTTCTCCACCTTCTTTATCCTCCCAACCTATGGTATTTCCAACCCCAACGAATCTGTAGAGTGTGGATCTTTGTTCCAAGGCTATCAGAGAGTTATTGATTAAGGGGTGGTAGTAGAGATGTTGATCCCATTTTTTCCAGGATTTTATTCCTGTTTATTTGTTGTGCCCAAGAAGATGGGAGACTGGCAGCCAATCGTCAATTTTTTGTCTCAACCAATTTTTAGATCCTCCCAGGTTCACAATGGAGTCTTCTTTTCAACCTATGTTGACATTCTTCACCAGGTTTGTGGATGGCTAAATTCAATGTTGCTGATGCATATCTCCACATTCTCATAGTGAAGTTACCCTGCTAATATCTACGTTTCATGCACATGGGTCAGGTTCTGCAGTTATGGGAGCTACCTTTGGCCTAGCATCTGCACCATATGTCTTCTGCAGAGTCGTTTGAGTTCTTATCACCTTATTTTGGGCCTGTGCACACCTCATTATCTGGATGTCTGGTTACTTCTAGCACCAGCTCTTCAGTTGGCAAAAAAGACACATCCAGATTCTTCTTTCAGAAGCCACCAAGGCTGGCTTTCTTACCAGAGCCAAGAAATCCATTCTCTTGCTGACTTACAATATTGTTTGTCTGGGTGTCTTTTTCAAAATATTTTAAGTTGGGCTCAGCCAACTCTCATCTGGCTCCAGGCTATGGAATGGGGAGTCAGGCTCTTCTTTACATGATGGTTCTGTCTCCTTTGGGGATGTGGGCATCCCTTGAATCACTGATTACTTCAGGATGGCACACCTATGGTCCCTTCAGTGGTCACTGCTCAACCAGTGGATCAGGAATTTTGATCCACTGGATCATCCAGTCTCCTTCATCAGGAGCAACATCTTAGTTCTTGAGTGGTGGTTGGATCAGATCAACGCTACCATCAGTTTTCCTATACTGCTCCCCCAAGTTTCACAGTAGTCTCTTACATTTCCCATCCTGGAAGCACACATTCTTGGGACCTTTGTTTACGAACTTTGGATATTCTCTACTGGGCTCTTTCCCATCATGTTAGCCTCTTGTCTTGCCATGTTCCAGGTATGATGCATTTTATAGCAGATCACCTATCTTGACCCAATCAAATTCTTCTGACTGAATGGATACTTCATTGCGAGGTTTTCCAGTGGATTTGCTCTCAGTTTGGGACTCCAATGATCAACACAATTGCCACTCATTGAAACTCTCAACTACAGGTGTTTTTGGTCCACGGTACCTCATTCTTGAGCTTTGTCTATGGATGCATACAGTCAAGATTGGAT